TCTTAGCCACTTGAGCCACAGGCACCGAGCCATGAGGGGAGTTTTAGAGCTGGGCTTCATTCAGGTATAAATGCCTGATTCTGGAACATGTGATAATTTATCATGTATTTGGACCCATTATGCCTTACTTTTCTTTTCTTTTTTCTTTTTTTTCTTTTTTTGTTGAGACAGAGTCTCACTATGTCACCCTTGGTAGAGTGCTATGGCATCACAGCTCACAGCAACCTCAAACTCTTGGGCCCAAGAGATTCTCCTGCCTCAGCCTCCCCAGTAGCTGGGACTATGGGCACCCACCACAACACCTAGCCATTTTTTGTTGCAGTTGTCATTGTTGTTTCACTGGCACAGGCTGGGTTTGAACCTGCCAGCCTCGGTGTATGTGGCCGTTGCCATAACCACTATGCTACGGGCGCCGAGCCAAGCCAAGACTTACTTTTCAATAAGATAAAGGACCCTTATCAGTATCCTTTAAAGTCTACCTCTATCCTCTTTCCTCTTATTTATTCTTTAAGCTTTCCCAAAAGCTGGGATTATAGAAATACCGCTCTAGTTCCCTGTAGAAGACTCTTGGATACAATATTGGAGACAAGGAGTACAACCGGGTTCTGCTAATAAGATGCCCGTCAAATGCTTTGAGACCTGCCAGGTGCAGGTGCATTTCTTCAATTTTCATGTGATTTCTAGACATTAAAGTCCCTGTACGACCAGACTCTTCACTTCACAGAAAAGGATAATGCATGGGGTGGTGAAGAGAAGTGGTAATTAGCCGCTTGCGGTACCAGATTAAAAAATAAGGAGCCCATATTTTTTCCAGCATCTGTAGGTGACATCAACTGGGTAGCCTTGGGTGTACAGTTCTTTACCGCCTATTCCGTACCTGGGTCAGTTGCTCTAGTAAAACCTTAAGTAGTTTTATTTTCATGTCTCTTCCTGGCCCCCAACTATATTTAAAAGCCCCGTGGGGACAGAGACTGTACCTTCTAACTCTTTTGTTCAGGATTCTGTTCAATGTACTGTACGTAACAGGATCTTGGTGGGTATTTTCTGACTGTGATGATGATAGAGTTAAGAGAGAGAAAAATAAAAATGGAAGCCATGAATTTTTGAGTCCCTTATTTTGAGTGCTCTGTCCTGAGGTGCCCATAGGCCAGAGCGTTTTTTATCTTCTTTTCCTTCTGCTATTTAATCACCTACTGGTGGCTCCAGATAAGAAACTTGAATGTCATTCATTACCCAACTGGTGCATGTATAATTCATTTATCATAGGGTATCCATATATAAAGAATTGTTTGGTGTAACAAATTTGGCTGTAAATAGATGAGTTACTGTTATGAAGACTTGTGATTCTCCACTGAATTGCAGGAGGGTCTTCAATGTTGTATGCATTCAGAGACAGTCCAAGGAGGGGGCTCTATTAGTCACAAACAGTTAAATATCCAGAATGTCAGTGTATCCCGGAATGATAATTCAATGCAACTTCTGGTTTATCCCAAGAATCTTCCCTGAGTCTATAGAAAATGTCTTCAGAAGTGAAGGAGTTAACTGAGTGTGCAAGCTTTATCTTCTGCTCAATGGACTTGTGGTTTGCTTATTAAAGTGTCCGGTGAATGATTGCCGAGACCTGTCATTGAGAGCTGTCCTTAGTCCCTGCCTTTCAAAAGCCCGTTGATTCCCCTGCAAGGCAGTGCAGCACCCTCTGTCCCTTTCCTCATTTCAGATCTACTCAGCTTTGCCTGCAAACAGATTTATCAGATCAGTAAACATGGATGACGAAGACTACAGTAACATCTACGACACAGTCCAAAAACAGAGGCCCCATGAGGTTCCTGACCAGCCAGAAGAAAAGGAAGTTCCCCATTGCCATGATGTCCACGAAGACCCAAGGCCGGAAAACAACTTACGTGCCACCCATGTGTATGATTCTGTGTCAGTCTATGCCAGGGGGGTTGAAGAGAGCAGCCTGGCCTCTTCCCAACCAGAAAGAGGCTACCTCTCACCTGATGAGGTCTGCTGTCAGGCCCATGATTCTCAGCCAGGTGAGCCCCAGGAGGACAGGGGCATCCCAATGGCAGAGTTGCATTCACCATCTCAGGACCAGGAGCCCTACCCAGAAGAGCCTCAGGAGAACAGAAGCCTGATGGGGAAAGACTTACCTTCTCCTTCAAGATTTACCATCCAGCACAGCAAGGCCCTCTCTGCCAGCCAAGACTCCTTCCCTTCCTATTCTGATGCTGATGGTTGGGAAGAGAAGGACGCAGCTCCCATGGACCCTGAGATTAGCCTCTTTGTGAAGGTAAGGGCTGCCTGCACACGCAGGGGGTGTAACTGGGGCTTTGCTTTGCTCTGAGCAACTGGGGAAAGGTGCATGGCGTGGTGGTCCTTGGACCTGGATAGACAGATACTCAAGAGTAGGACCGATTAAATCGGTCACTTCAGAGTGCGCCCAGGGCGTCTTAAAAATTGCGAAAACTGGAAAGGGCATTTAAAGTGCTTTGACTTTTGCACGCCACAGGCAAAGCACTTCTTAAGAGTTCACGTGAGTGAGCTGAAATTGCCGCTCAAATCCTTACTGTTGGGACAGACGTTAAGTACATTTTTCTGTCTGGTTAAACTCCTTTTGTCGGTATGATTTTTGAAAATGAAACCGAAGCTTGTGAGAGAAAGTCAGATCTACAGTCACGTGTTGGAGTTTCCTTCTTATATTTCTAAGGTCACAGGACTGGCAGATACATGGTTGGTAAATGTCACCTCTGTCACTGGGCTTGCCCTTTTGGCACAGTGTAACTGAAATTCTGATGAAGTCCATTGATTTTAGTAGTAGTAAGGCACTAACAGCCAGTGTTAATGTTTAATGCCTGTAATACTTAAATAGCACTTTGGTGATCTTTGTTTCAGACTGCTAATGTAATAAAGATTAGGGTTATGAACGTTATCAAAATGAAAACTGCATTTCAGAGATAAACCATCTTCATGAATAAAGGTGGAAGACCCTCTTTCCCAACATCCGCCACACGAGTCAATTTACAGGAATTTTTAAAATATGAATGAAGACAATGTATTAGTCAATACTTTTACTTCTTGCCAGTAAAAATGGTTACCCTACGAGCCTACCAAAACCCGAGTCCACACTCACTTCCAGTGAACACGTCCCAGTAACACTTCCAGTGAAATACATTTTATTAATTTAAATGATTTGATTATCTTCCACTTCATATTTTTCTCTAATTGCTGGAAGGTCCTTTTTTTTTTGCAGTTCTATTTTGGCCAAGGCTGGGTTTGAACCCGCCACCTCCAGCATATGGGGCCGGTACCCTACTCCTTTGAGCCACAGGCGCCGCCCGCTGTAAGGTCCTTTTAAAAAGCACGTAACTCAGTGCCTGGTTCACACTAATGTTCCCCACACACCTCGCCTGGTACTGTGCTGAGCATTTGGGGGGAAGAGCACACAGTAGGGCCCTTACTCTCGAGAAACCAACAGTTTGGTTGGTTGAGACAGACTTGGCTTGACGAATTATAATAAAACTTAATAAGGGATGACACAGAGAGTGGGGGCGCTGTAGACATTTAGGACAGGGTGTATGGGAGGGCTCCAGGGCAGGGGTGATGCTCCAGCAGGTGGATTCAAGCAAATTTCCAGCCCCCATATCCACATCCCTGCTGTGGCACAATGTGCAAACACACGTTTTAAAAGTGAGGAGTGGCTGTATTGTTCCTCAGGACAGAAGTACCCGTGCAACCTCATGTAATAAAGGTGGGTTGTCATCATCGTCATTATCTTTATATAAAGGTACTTCATGCAATACTCAAGGTGTGTCTTCATCATCATCGTCACCCATCAAGACACTGTATCTAAATTTGGCAAAGCGTTTATCTCACTAGAAATTAGTCTATCACGGGTGTTGAACCAAACAGAAATACCAATGAATCAGTTCAAACATATCATTTCATTTGTTCATTCAACAGATACTGTGCCAGGCACTGGGTTTACAACGTGAGAAAATCATTCTTGACTCTCATGCACTTTGCATTGTAGTGGGAGGAACAACCAATAGACAAATAAGTAAATGCAAAATATGGCCAGTGATGCTGATGCTGTAGAGAACATAAAACTGGATACAGGTGTATTAATTCTTTTAGCTGCTTTATCAATTACCAAAAACTTGGTGGCTTAAAAAGCACAAATATTCTCTTACAGCGCTGGAGGTCAGAAGCCCGAAATGAGTCTTAGGGAGCTAAAATTAAGGAGGCAGCAGGGCTGTCTTCCTTCTGGCGGCTCTAGGGGAGAATCTGTTTCGTCCCGTTTGCAGCTTCTAGAAGCTGACCTCCTTCCTGCTGCACAGTCCCCGTCACAGGACTCCTGCGTCCCCCTTGTGAGGGTCTTTGTGATTAAAGTGGACCCTCCAGAATAATTCAGGATGATCCTCCCATTTTAAGATCCTTAGTTGAATCACATCTGCAAGTCCCCTTGCTATGTGAAGTAGCACTCTGCAGCTTTGGGGTGGATGTGGGGAACAGAGAGTGATGTGAGAGGGGAGGGAGTAGGAGGTGAGGCTGGGGGGCTGCCGAGCACAGAGGCCCTTGTGGGCCATTGGATGAACTGTCACTTTTATCTGAGGGATGTGGGGAGTCACTGGGCGATTTGGCAAGGAACGTTCTGGCTGCCTTTTTGACGACAGGCTGTACTAAGGAAGGGTAGAAGTGGCAAGAGGGAGAATAATTTGGAGGCAACTGACAAACTTCAGGCAGGAGATGAGGGTGGGGCCAGGTAGGACTGGTATCACTTTGAAGAGAAAGCCCAAAGGTTTTCCTGATGAATTTGATGTGGCTGGAAAGTACAAAAGGGTCATGGTTAACTCTAGAGAATTTAGTCAGAGCTACTGAGTGAATGGGAAGGTTATGCCCATTTCAGCTATGGACCCCTTCTCAAGAAATGTATGACTGAGAAAACCGATGATTGTATCTCTTGCTGTGTGTGTGTCGAGGGGAGAGGTGGGAGGAGGGAGAGAGGGAGGGAAGGAAGGAGATAGGGCAGCATTCTGATATTCTGATTAATGAAAAGGAAGAGTGTATTCAGATAATGATAATTGCAAAGAGAAATGGTACAAATGAATACCTGATATCACTGATTATGGAAAGCGAGATATACTTTAGAGCAGGTTTTGAAGTCGGGTTGCATGAAATTGAAACCTGGCTTAGCAAATTAAGTTTTGTTGCTGTTGCTAAGCTTCTCTCAGCCTCAGCTTCCCCACTGGTAAAATGGGTGTTATGATTATGCCTTCCTCATGGGGTTGTTAGGAGGATTAAATAAGATGATGCATCTAAATTCTTTAGTATAATATCTGACATGTAGTAAGTATCATAGATAGGAATCTAAATTATTATTATTATTTTTCGAGACAGGGTCTCACTCTGTTGCCCTGGTGGAGTGCTGTGGCATCATAGCTCACAGCAACCTCAAATTCTTGGGCTGAAGTGATCCTGTTGCCTCAGCCTCCCAAGTAGCTGGGACTACAGGCACATGCCACTATGCCTCACTCATTTTTACGTTGCTAATAGAGACTGTGCCTCACTCTTGTTCAGGCTTGTCTCTAACTCTTAAGCTCAAGGGATCCTCCCCCTTCAGCCTCTTACAGGGCTAGAATCATACATGTGAGCCACCACCCCCTACCTAAATTATTATTTATTACAATGAGTTTGAACGATTCATGAAATAAGTACATTTATTAAGCACAGTGCTTTGTAGTAAGTAAACATTCAATAAATATCCTAATAGCTTATTCTGACACAAGTAGTGTTATATTGTGGAAAGTGCACTACTCAGGGAATTCCAACATGAATTTGTCAATCATTTGTCTGAAACATACCTGGACTTGAGTTTCTTATCTTTGAAATGCAAGCCCTGTCAGCTCTTCCAGGCTTTGATTCCTAGTGGGTGGTCCCGTCTCTTCATCAGTGTGTATTGCTATGGCACCACCTGTTATCCAGTCAAAAAGCCTGCTCAATGCTAATTCTGCTGTCTAGATTTGGGTGTGGTTGAAGAATCCGCATGCGACCAACGCTCCTGCTCATGCTCAGTTTATGTGAAACTTGCCCTTTGGACAATGTCTTCAGGGCCTAATCAGCCATGGTCTGATTAGGACACACACAGGGTCCTTGTGCAGGGATGCACAGGTTGTTCACTGAACAAATTTAGGGGGCACTAGTCACAGAAAATATTTAATATAAATGGTGCCCCCTGATGTCAGACCGTAATAACCCTGGTTACTATTTCTTAGATTGTAGCCCAGCATCTTTACTCTGTGACTGACTAGAATCTGGCTCGGCATAGTAGAAAGTATCACAGAATTATCAGTAATTGTTGTTATTGCCACAGCAAGGAGCCTGATGTGTTCATAATGGTCATGGTATTAATGGGGTGCCCATTTGTAATCCTTGTGGTATTAGACTACTAGAATTGGAATAAAATAGAATAGGCAACATTGGTATTTAATTTTACCTAATCCTTTCAAATATTAACGTATTATATATTTTATAATGAAGATAGTACATTTTTACAGCAGTAAATTAATATAATTTAACTGAATAAATGTACATATATTGTGGGTAAATGTTCGTTTTGCATTGATAAGTATGTGCAATTAAAGACAAATATTATTTCCTGGCCTTCTTTTTCCATTATTATCTGTGGGCCCCATCGTTGGCCGAGATCTGATGAGAACAAATCCTGAGGAGGAATGTAGGCACTTCTCAGTTCTTACTGGGAGTTTTTATAAACAGCACATTTAGTTCATTTGCCTTAGAGGCAAACTAAGATTTCTCATTGCAGGTGAGAAAGTATAAAATCCCATAAGGAAATGAAACTGGATTTAGATGTTGATACATGGTTCAAAGGATCTTTTAGGCAGCAGACTTAGAAGAAGCAAAGGCACAGCAAACACACACACACGGATTGCTAGACCCATGTGGCCAGATGAACAGAAGGTCCATGCTGGCGCAGAGCAGACAGTGAGGCTGAAGACCCAGGAGTGCTGCCTCACACAGCCAAATAATGGGCTTGGATCTGATTCTGAAGGGAACAAGAGTGACAGAACATTTTTAGAGGTTGCTGTCATTTAAGCTGGGAGAGCTGTCATGAGCAAAACAACGTTTAGGGTGACAGATAAGCAAATTAAAAAGCATTTCCACCTACGGTGTAGAACAAGACCAAACAAACACTATCATGTTTGATTTCTAGGATTGGTTCAAACATTGAGGTGTAAAAACATGGTGTGCCATTAAGACTGTGGGTTTCTT